TGAGGGTAAAGACAATAGACTCTGGACTCTGATTGAGTGACCTTAGAAAGGTATGCAGCCTTTCTGAACCTGAGTTTCCTCTTCAGGAAACGATTAGGGTGACTTCACAGAAGGAAGCTGCGGGGAGAAATTAAGCAGTACAGGTCAGCTGTGAGGCACCGGGTGCCGGATAAGCGCTCGGCAGTGTTTCCTGTGCCCATTATCATTATTTTGCATGTTTTCTATGTAGGCAAATTTTGCCAGAAGGAAAGCATAATGCATGAAAATTTAGATTGCATGAAAGCCGGATAGGGGAGATTTCTGCGTTAGACAAAGACTGTCCAGTCTGGCCTGGTGGACTCCGAGCCTGTGATACCAGCTGCTTGGGGCGCTGAGCTGAAGATGACAAGTGCGGGGGCCGCCTAGAACCTGGGCACTGCAGGCGACTTAGACAGCACGCCTTCCAGAAGTAGGCTAGCTCAGTGGTGGAGTGCTTGCTGAGCGTGGCTAAACCCCGGGTTCAGTGCCCAGCCCCTATTTCTGTTGATGAGAGAACCGATAACAGGGTTTTTAAAAGCAGTCACCTTCCATGTACGTCTAAAACGATTTGATTCACACGAAACTGGTTTATACAGTGTTTTAGGGATACATGTGCGCCAAGCTCAGGTCATCTATAATACAATCACTCAGGCCAAGTCTGAGCCACTATGACAGGTTAACAATAACCATCCCGAGTATTCCCCAAGGCCTTTTATACAGGGATTATATGGATTCTCTGTGGTTTGAAAGGACAGATTTGTGACTGCTGAGTGGAAGACGTGGGGCCGGGAAACAGCAGGGGGAAGGTAGCTCTTGTGATGGAAAAGTCCTTCCAAACCACTGCTCCCCAAAGTGGAATGGTTTGTGACGGCAGACCCCAGCACAAGACATTCGAGTAAACGCTAGCTACCAACTTGGGCAGTGGTGGGAAGGGAAGTAAGGCAGTCATTCCCATTAAGTACACTTATGCAAACTGCTTGGATACCAGGAAAAGACAGAGGAAAGAGACTGGCTCTTCGGAGGTGGGGTGGGGGTGAAGGGAAGGAATTGGAACAAGCATTGCTTGTCTGGCTGGGAAATGCTAGATTAAATGGCCTCTAAAATGTCTTGTAATTTAAAGATCCTAACTCTCAAATTACTTCATAGATGTTATTTTAACTATATCCCTTGGAGAATTTCCCTATTTCAGTTGTGGAAAATTAGGACCTAACACCCAAAGTGAGTGGCCAAACGTGAGGGAATTAGATGTCCAGACGTTTTTTAGGCGTTTGATCCCACAGCCTCTTTTCAACTCGTGAAAATGGAAGTTGGAGAAGAAGAAGACAGCCATTGAAGCCAGAATGGGTAAAATCTAGTCACCTTTAGAGCTGAGTCCCAGCTGACTGGCTGTGAGCTGTGAGGCCTGAGAGCCTGGTAAAGTACTTTGGGATTCCATGACCCAAGACTGACCTTTTGGCACTAACATCTTTTTAACGGGGTTCTTACAAGATGAATCTTTGTCCCAGTGAGCCTACTTGTCTTAAAATCCAGTTGATGGTCTGACCTTCAGATCAATAGGCTTGCTTGGCCACAGGTGACCAGGCTACTCAGCCGCTTCCATACTCTGGGCCACAAAGCCAGCTTCCCATCTAGTGTGTATCAGTTGTTGGGACAAATCCAGCTCTGGTTCAGAGAGGATAGAAAGTCAGTTATGGAGGGATGAACCATTTTGTAAAGTAGGTTTATTTCTCCCCCAGCAAAGGAGAATGGATACGAAAAGGAAAGAGATTTCCTGGCTGGCCCAGCACCTGATAACTGGCAGATGAGAAATCAGACTGAGAAGGTGACTCAGCCAGGAGACACAGGAAGCCACTTTGTACCAGAGCCAGTCCTTTTAAGAAGGAGAGGAAGAAAAGCATAGGGAATGGGGGCGAAGAGGAAAATATTTTCGTTATATAAACCTTGGTGTTGCTCTTTGCCTGCAAGCCTTAGAACATGGCGTGGCCATGAACTGGTGTGGAAGTCAGCTCCAGGATGGTCTCGGGTGCTCCCTAACCTACCCGCCCTCTGTGAGCACATTCCTATCTGACCCCTGACGGGAAGTCAGTGGTGAGGCTGCCCCAGATTCTCTGCTCCAGGTGGAGAAGGCCTCGAGAAGGTGAAGGGATGAGCTAATCTGAGCGCATGGCCCCATTTGCAAGGATGTGATTAGTGAAGAGGCACCTGGGACGTGCTCCATTTCAGGAAACCCGGTTATGGGGACTGGTGGGGGACAGACTTCTCTCAGGACCTGAGAGAAGCAGTTAACCCTTTCTCATTGTCTGTGTGGGAAACAGCCTCTTGTCGTAGTTGCTTGTTTCCCAGGGGAGAAAGTCCCCAAATGAACCTGATTTGACAATAGTTTAAATTCCTCAGGTTGACTTCTTTCAGGACATATGAATGACCTGGAAGAACTGGAGACTAAGGTACACCCTAAGAAGTGTCTGGAATATGTATAGAGAACACATTGAAAGGAAAAGGCAGCTTAACAGTCCCTGAAATGTCCCTGTTTGCCTGGCAACATTGCTTATGATGTTTTGGTTCCATTCAAGCCCCCCATTTTTTGTCTTTTGGGGGCTTCAGAGTCAATCTGGGGCTCTTGGGGTAGGGTTTTAAAACTGGCCAGACAGGTTTTTTTTGTTTTTGTTTTTTGATTTGTTTTTGTCTCAGAACAATCAATATTCAAAAAAGACATGAAACGTGAGTTCAGTTTCTGAGTGAGCAGGGGAATGGCGGCACAACCACACGCCACACAGTCTAGACCGCAGTGAGAACGGGTCCCTGGAAACACTTCAGAGAAGAGACCAGAGAGCAAAGGGCAGGCTGAAAATACAGTGATCCACAAGGGCTTCTTGGTCAACCCAGGGGACTAAGTGACCTTACCTTAGGCAGGCCATTTAATTTCTTTAGGCCTCACGCATGTTAATCTATTGAAGGTAAGTGATCACCTCACCAATCCCTTCTGACCATAGCATTTGTTGGCCTGAGGAAGGAACCTGAGCAAACATGTTTTCATAATGTGGCATCCAACAGCATATTACTTACTAGATCCAAACAGACAGGTTGGAGATGCAGGCTGATGAGTGGGAAAAGTGAGCAGGGGTTTATGGGAGAGGAGGGTATCACCACCGTGGTTTGTGTAGAGGGGTTCACATTTTATGGTAACATCAATAATGGCACAGTACAGAACTCCCCGACAGGCAGCCAGGCCATGGCCAGGTGGGAGATGGGGAGAAGTCCAGAGAGGACTTGAGGGATGCTTTCGTCTTAAGGTTCTGACATTTACAAACTGAGTGTTATACAACCTCTCCTCAGAGCCTCATTTCCACTGTTTACAATACCTGTTACACAGAAGGATTACTTTTAACAAGGGGAGCTAAAAAGTAGGGTGAGGGAGTCGGACTCAGCAAATGTCAAGTCTGATTACAAGAAGAAGAAACACTACCGGAGCCCTGAAGGTGGATCCTCGCAGCAGAGGTGCCCCCCACTTTGCCTAGACCAATGTGAGGGCACCCTCTCCCAGGCGGCTTTGTTAGGTATCTGCCTACACATGGGATAGTGTTGGGTGTTTCCTGTACCTTCATCCCTGAGGCACATTCCAAGGAGGAGGCTGAGAGCCAAGACAACCGCCTCAGCTCAAGCACTGTGCCATTAGCCATTGTTCCTCACCCTTCATCTCCGCTGGTATTTTCAAGGCGGAGCGCTTCTGCTGAGATGACATTTTCAGTGGGAAATATTCTAAAAGAGATGTAAAAAGGAGGAAAAGACTCCAGTGGCTTCCCAAATGTCGGCTTTTTATTAATTCTGATGATTAAAATGAATGCTCCAGCCGGGCGGTGGTGGTGCACGCCTAGAATCCCAGCACTCGGGAGGCAGAGGCAATCAGATCTCTGAGTTCGAGACCAGCCTGGTCTACAAGAGCCAGTTCCAGGACAGTCAGGGCTGTTACACGGAGAAACCCTGTCTCGAAAAACCAAAAATCAAAAACCACCTCTCCAGTTTGCCTAGCTGTGAGCACCCGAGACGGGGAAGGCGGGTAAGAGCTCTAGCACACGGCAGAGGGGGTATGGTTCAGGTCCTCAGGGACATGGTCTTTGAAGTGGCACCAAGGCTGGTACTTGGTGGGCACTCTGCCAACTCCACAGCCTGTTCTGTGCAATTCCCGCTTCTGGAGTGGAAGAATTTCCTCTGAAGGAAAGCAGCCAACGCCCTGTTCCACCCTTCTCCTTGGGTAACTCGTTGCCAAGCAAGAATCTCTGATGCCAGTGTCTTCTTTTGGCAGCCCAAAGAACAATCTGTCAGATTCTCGGGAGCTGTGGTGAGCCTACGTCCATCTCACGAAGTCCGCTCTGCAGCCTATAGGACTTCCTCCCAGCTGGGGACACTCAGATCTGCTTGTCAGCCAGACGTTTTCTGAAGTCAAACTTGGGGAAGGAAGGGTCTAGTGGGGAGGGGGAAGCTCCCAGAATCTTCCTGGAATAGACTGGGGAGAGGTTTGGAGACAGGTTGCCAGATACAAGCCCCCCAGCTTTCGGCTCTGAATTTCAAAATCATTTCCTTAGTATATATCCCAAATCTTATGGCATGACATACACAATACGGGGTGAAAAGATCGTTCACCTAAAATTCAGACTTAATTAGCCACCTATATATCCCTCTGTTAGATGTGGGAGCAGAGTCTGGTCCCAGGCACCGCCCTCAGAACAGAAGGCGAAGCCGGCTGGGGTCTAGAGCCAGCTTGGGAATCCTGCACCACGCAGCCGCAGCTTTCCAGGGACCAGCCCTGGAAAACGCCGCCGGCGGTCAAAGCGCTTTGAAAAGGGCCGAGGGCCGCGTCTTGGCCAGACCGTGGGAAAGTCTCCTCAGGAGGAGTCATCGCCCGACCTCTTCCCGGCTCGCCTCCAGCCTTGGCAGCAGGGCCACCTGCCCTCCCACCCAGCCGCCTACTGGTGCGGGCGACCTCAGGCAGCCCGCGCAGTGCGCAGGCGCCAGGGCTGGGGGCGGGGCGACCGCGCTGTCGGGCGGGAAGGGAACCGGCTGGCGGCCGCCTGGCCTGGCGCTCACGCGGGTCGAAGGAAGCTGAGGAAGAGGTTTTGAGCAGCCAGCAACCCTGAGCGCTGTGGCCGCTCTCCTTACAGAATGGAGAGTATGGCTTTGGCTGTCTGCGAGGTGATGCAGGGAAGGAAGAGAAAGACATTTTTCTGAGAAGAGGGCATTGTGAGGAGACCTCAAAGTTTGGGCGGCGGGATCTGGCGTTTTCTGAGGTGCAGGAAAAAATACAGTGAATGGCTAAACAATTTTAAATCCCGCTTTCTTTGGGATTTCTGTGGAGGGGAGGGCGTGAGGCCTGAGGTACGGAGGTGCTGGACTATCCATCACCCTCGTGGGTCCTTTGTGAGGAACCAGTGTGTATTCCGGGCTTGCCTTCGTGCGCACTAACACCACCGTCTAAAGCAAAGAACGCGAAGGCCCAAGAACTAGGTATGGTGTTTGCCAAACCTGGGCTGATTCTGAGAGCGGAATCGGAAGTCGGCTAACTTGATTCCCAGCGTTTTGTACCCATCTATGTGAGAGGGGGATCGAGAAGGCGGGAAGGACGTGTGCAGCCGTTAAAGGGTGGACCAGGGAGTCAGAGGGTAGGCAAGGAGGCACCAAGCCACGTAAAAACAGGAACAGGAGGACAAGGCGTGACACGATCCCTCGGCAGCCACTGTGAGGTGCAGATCCCGGGCTGAATGACGAAAGGTTGAATCCAAGGGTTCGTGCTAGGTTCTCCATATCAGTGGACTGAGAACTGTTTAGTTCTAGAAGATGGCCCGGTGCCGGCTAGTGGCATGTGTTCACTCCACTGCTGAACTTTGCGGTCTTCTCCTGATGGGGCACTTACCTTCAGACCTAAGGAACGCTGCACAGGTGAACAGGGATAGAATCGCAGGCGCTGAGGTGACTTAGAATATTTGTGGTCCCCGTGACTTCTTTGTCATCGTCAGAGGAAGCTGGGGGATTAGATTTTCCAGATGACAGAACCCGGGATAGAACCCAGGGCTCTGACTCACCAGCCAGTATTCTTTTCCCAACTGCTATCTTTGTACATAAAGACGCTGGAAAAATCCAAACAGAGAGCGCACAGGAAATCAGAAGATGATGTGAAGGAAGCTGTTAGATTGTAGAAGTGCCTGGAAACTGCCTTAGAACTCTGGTACAAATCAGGATCTTAGTTCCCAAACTTGCTTACTCAGAGCTCTTTGCCTTAAAAAAAAAAAAAAAAAAAAAAAAAAAAAAAAAAAAGTGTTGGCTGAGAAATTTTAGAGTGCTCATCACCCTGGCAAAGACCTGGAGTTTGATTTGCAGCACCCTAGTGGCAATGCTGCCTTCTTACCTTTGTGGGCAGCAAGCATGTGGTATACTTATGTGTATACAGACAAAACACTCATACACATAAAACTAAGTCATTTCAGCCTGGCGTGGTGGCACACACCTTTAACCCCAGCATTTGGGAGGCAGAGACAGAAGCAGGTGAATCTCAGAGTTCAAGGCCGCCCGCCCTGGTCTGCAAAGCACACAGAAGGTTGTGAGGTAGGTGCCTTATGGGTGCTGGGAACTGAACTCTGTTCTTCTGCAGGAATAGCAAGTGCTCTTAATCTTAGAGCCATTTCTCCAGCCCTCTTTTTTCTTTCTTATTTTAGACAGGGTTTCTCTGTAGCTTTGGAGCCTGTCCTGGAACTAGCTCTTGTAGACCAGGCTGGCCTCCAACTCACAGAGATCTGTCTACCTCTGCCTCCGGAGTGCTGGGATTAAAGGTGTGTGCCACCACAGCCCGGCTATGCTGGAAATCACTCTGTAGACCAGGCTGGCCTCGAGCTCACAGAGCTCTGCCTGCCTCTGTCTCCCAAGCTGGCTTTCCAACTATTTTTTTGTGTGTTTAGATACAATACTATGCTATGAACAAAAGCAAATCTGACATTTCATAAGCAGGAGTACAGTATTTTATATTAGAGTTTTAACTGTGTCATACAAGTTTGTTAGGACCATGATCTTAAAGATTGCGTTTCATTTGCATCGTATTCTTTTCAGGTTTTGAGGTATTTAATAGTTCACTGGAAGTGTGAAGCAGGACTGCCAAAGGGAGCATCGCTAGAAGGGCAGCTAACGGTTTCCATAGACGCATTAAGTTCTACGCAGGCGCCGAGTTCTCTCCGTTGTGCAGTGACTAGTAAGTAAAGGCAGAAATCATTGACAATTGTTTCGTCGCTACGCATGTCATAGTTCGTGTAAAGTTTCCAATTTGTCACACTCCTCTCTAGTGTAGCTATAAAACCAAGATGATTTTAACAAGTATTTGGTAATTAATTTGTAAGTGTTCGATATAGGAAAGATAAAAATTATTCTTATTGTGAGACTCTATAGCTAGGTTAAATTAAAATTGCTCAAAAACAATTTTACTTTTGACCTTGATTTTAAGCTATTCTTTCACAACAAATTTATATCAAGTTTTACGGTTTTGTTCATGTGTGGACTTTGGCAATTGCAAAAGAGGCAAAAATAAAGGAAAGGGAAATGAAATGACTAATGGTGTATGCTCTTATCATGACATCCAATTCCATAGCCATTTTGAACATAAAGGACTTCCTCGGTATGTCTGGCGTAGATGGCACTGCTTTGTTATTTCTGATCTTCATGTAGTTAGTTTATATCTGTCAAGATAAAAAGATGGGGACCGGAGAGATGGATCAGCAGTTAAGAGCACTGGCTGCTCTTCTAGAGGACCCAGGTTCAATTCCCAGCACCCACATGGCAGCTCACAACTGTCTGTAATTCCTGTTCCAGAGCTTCTCACATCCTCAGACATACATGCAGGCAAAACCACCAAAGAATATAAAATAAAAAAATAAATTTAAAAAATGGCTGGGAGGTGGTGGCCCATGCCTTTAATCCCAGCACTCAGGAGGCAGAGGCAGGTGGATCTCTGTGAGTTTGAGGTCAACTAGGTCTACAGAATGAGTTCCAGGATAGCCAGGGCTACATAGAGAAACCCTGTCTTGAAGAATGAAATATAAAACAAATAAACAAGAATGATGATATACACCTGACATAGTGCATCATTACAGAAGCAATGATGGCATTTTCTAGTTACTTTCTAGTTATCTAACTCCCTGAAATAATTATTAACATTCAGTGTACATTATTATTAACATTCATTGTATATTCTAGACTTTTCTGTGTATGTGGGCACAGTTGCTGAATTTCTTAACAAATGAAATTGGTGTATGATAGTGCCAGTGCCTTTTAATAAAAGTGGACAGCGTTTTGTGTTAATACATGGAGATCTACTTCATTAATTTTTGGAAACTTCCTTTGTTTTAAGTTTTATAAGTTATACAGACACACAATTTTAGTAGTAGGATAGATCAAGCCAGGCATGGTGAATGACAACAACTGGGAGGCTGAGGCAGGAGGGTTGCTGTGAATTTGAGTTTAGCCTGGTATATATAATGAGTCCCAGGTCAGGCTAGGCTGAGGGTGCAGATACCCAGAACTTATGTAGATGCTGGATGGGTGTGGTGAAATGCTTATAATTTGAGCCTTAAAAGGCACAGACGAGGGATGCCAGGAGCAAACTGGTTAGTGAGACTAGCCATATATGAGCTCAAGGTTCTAAAGACCCTACCTCGTAGAATATGGAAGTGCAATCGAAGATTCCTATCAGTCTTGGTCCTTCACATGTGTGCTCACACATACAAACACTCGAGTACCACATACACATGAAAAGAAGTTTGGAGTGGGGGGAAGCCAGCGATGGTGGAGCACGCCTTTTATCCCAGCACTTGGGAGGCAGAGGCAGACAGATCTCTGTGAGTTCAAGGCTAGCCTGATCTACAGAGCGAATTCCAGGACAGGCTCCAAAGCTACAGAGAAATCTGTCTCAAAAAAAATCAAAAAGAAATGGGGCATGGGGGTGGGAGGGGAAGAAAGGGAAAAATAAGGTAAAGAAATAATGAAGGAAGAAACACAATATCAGCTTCTAGCCTTCACATGAATGCATGCACACAACTTTCACATACACCCAGACGGTACACACACACACACACACACACACCAAGAGAGCTATGAGATAGCCCAACCCCCTGACTTTTTTTCTTCCTAAATGCTAACACTTTTGGCCACATTAACTGATTATTTTCATATTACCTGTTTCTAAACATATTTGTATTAGAAATCTTTTTCATTTAAAAAGATTTATTTTTATTATTTTGATTTTTTTCAAGACAGGGTCTCCTGAGTGCTGGGATTAAAGGCATGTGTTACCACTGCCTAGCCCTTTTAGGTTTATTTTTAATTGTATATGTGTTTCTGTGTGTATGTCTGTGCATGTGAATACCATTGACCAAGGAGGCTAGAGGAGTTTGATCCCTCTGGACCTGGAATTATAGAAGTTGTGAGCTGCCCATTGGGGAACTGAATCCTAGTTCTTTTTAAGAGAATTAATTGCTGTCAGCTGCCAAGCCATCTCTCTAGCCCCTTTAAAAAATTTAAAGGCATTGTTATTACTGACTTTTAAAGAAAGAGTCTCATGTGACCCAGGTTGGCCTCTTGACTCAACATGTAGACAAGGATGACTCTACTTCTCTTTCCTCTACTTCCAGAGGAATGCTAGAATTACAGGTGTGTGCTACCACACCTGGTTTATGTGCTGCTGGGGATCCATACTAGGCAGGCACTCTGCTAACCAAGGTACAACTCCAATCTCTTGGTTTGGTTTTCTGAGTTAGAGTCTCACCGTAGGGCATGGCCTGGCACTCATAGAAGTCCTCTCGTCTTAGCCTCCGAGTGGTAGGATCACAGTATAAGTCACCATGACGGCCTCTAACCGGCTCTAGTTTTGATACCTTCTGTTTTTAGTATATAGAGCTATTTGTTTTTTGGGGGTTTCTCTGAGTGTCTCTTGCTTCTGAATCCCAATATCTTTATTTTTTGGCTTACTCACTCTTTTGGTAGCTCTTAGACTGTAGTTGCTCCCTGACAAAGCATGTTGGGAAATTTCTTGAGACGTCGTATTTCTGAGAATGTCTTCACTCCACACCTGATTGGTAGTTTGTCAGAGAATGGGATTCTAAGTCAGAATTAATCTCTCTTCAGAATTTCAATGACGTTGCAATGTTGCTTCATAACTCTACTGTTGATACTAAAAATTCTGGCCTTTATGATTATTCTGTATATGACCTATTTTTTCTCCATGTAAGCTTATATAATATTGTCTTTATCTTTGTATTATTATATTTAATAGATACATTTTGAAATTTCAGTGATTTAACATATGGGATGTTTGTTTTTACTTTATTTTACCACCAGATGAGTGTAGATGTACAGGGGTTTATTTGCTTTAAAGTAGAATCCACGGGCTGGGGAGATGGCTCAGTGGTTAAGAGCACTGACTGCTCTTCCAGAGGACTTGGGTTCAATTCCCAGCACCCACATGGCAGCTCACAGTTGTCTGTAACTCCAGTTCCAGAGAACCTGACATCTTTATACCAATGCACATAAAATAAAGTTAAAAAAGTTTTTAAAAAAAAATTAAAGCAGAATCCACAATATTTCAGCCTTGTGGCCTCTAATATCTATCCCTTCAGCTAAGGATGGAGAAAGAGAACAAGGCTTATAACTCAAATGTTTTTAAGACAAGCCTTGGAAATGACATGAATTCTGTTCCCATTCTTTTGACCTGGACTTAGTTTTGTCATAATTGCTCTGCACTTTCAGAGGAGCCTATAAAGTGTGTCTAATTGTGCTCAGTGAGAAGAGAGTGATCCGCAGTTGCTGACCTTTGTTCTGAAAACTCACACTTCTGCACCTGCTGTGGGGTCAGTTTCCTCCATCCTGCCCTGTGCTCAGCCTTTTCCATGTAACTCATGTCCTTTGGGTGTGGGATTTGTTTGTTTGTTTGTTTGTTTGTTTGAGACAGGGTTTCTTTGTAGCTTTGGAGCCTGTCCTGGAACTAGCTCTTGTATACCAGGCTGGCCTCAATCTCACAGAGATCTGTAGGTGGAGCCTGTTCGTTTATTCTCGGCCACTTAAACCCACAATAATCACACAGAAACTGTATTATTTGCAATGTTTTGCCAATAGCTTAAGCACATTTCTAGCTAGCTCTTATATCCTAAACTAACCTATCTCCATTAATCTGTGCATCACCAAAAGGTCAACGTTTCAGCGGGCTCCAGTGGGGAGGTGTCTGTCTCCTGTGGTGGCCACATGGCTTCTCCCTGACTCTGCCTTCTCTCTAAACACACACACACACACACACACACACACACACACACACACACACACACACCTTCCAGCCTGGCTATATTCTGTTAAGTCATCTGCTAAAAGCAGCTTCTTTATTAACCAATAAAAGCAACACATATACAGAAGGACTTCCCACACCATTTCCCCTTTTCTGTTTAAATAAAAAGGAAGGTTTTAACTTTAACACAGTAAAATTACATGTAACAAAACCTGTATCAAGCAAGAATTACAGCTACAATATTTATATCTACTTTTTCTTTTGTCATAACTAAGGAAAACTTTAATAATAACTATTCTTCAACTCCATCAAAGACTCCAGAAGGAGATAATATTACTTAAATAAACAGGAAGTGCATTGTAAACAACTTCCAAAATTCTAGAATTGACAGAGACATCTCGCTGCCTGGACAGTCACCCAAAGTTCTTCTGTACTGTTGGGGCATCCATCTTCAGCCTACTGACCTATTGTATCTGGCAGACTTTTCCTTGAATCAGGTAATTTCAAAGACTGTTCCACCTATATTGACAGTTTGTCAGTCACTTTATTCTGTGTCCTGCAGAATGTCTGGCAGACTCTTTCATGAAGCAGGAACCCCAAAGAACTCTCTCACCTTCTTTAGGCAACTTCAGCAGTCATTTTTCTGTGGATCCTATAAGTTCAGTTAAGTAGTTCAGGCAAGAGCAATTTCTTGCCCAAATGGCTAACAAACTCTATGAGGAGCCTCTTTGATGCCCTTCATTCTTTTGAAGTAGATTGGTGCTGCCAGAAGCAGATGTGTCTCAGTGTCATGAAAAGTCCTAAGTTCTTAAAACATTTTAAATGCCATGTTATGTAGTCTTTGAAAGATCTGAAGAATATCTATCCATCTGAAATACATCTCTGTACATCTAGAAAACCTAGCTAACATGACTACAAGCTTGACTATTATAGATGACTCTCTATTAACCTATGTTTATTAATTATACATTACATTTTAAAATGAGCTTCACAAACACAATACCTTAATCAAAAGCAGTGTGTGTGTGTATATATATATAAAACAAAATTAATTTTAAATTTGTATCAATAAACCAAGATTCATACCAATACAAATCTCTATAGCATATCCCCATTTAAATGTAAACAAACATTTATAAACAATATTTTGGAATTTGGGTGTAGTTCTCTCCAAGTTTGGAGAAAGTTTGGAGAGAACTTTCTGCTTTTCTTGGGTGAAGTAATTTTGGGGGGTATTCATGGCAACCTTTCAGGGGCTCTTGGTCCATCAAATCACATTAGTCTGGAAGGAATCCACAGGTTCTCATCCTCTGTGGAAACAAAAGAAGAACCCCTTTTCCAAAGCAACAAATCCTTAGACCCAAATTTTGAAGTCAAGATACCTTTAACATATATCTTGGTTTAGCTTTTAGCAGCCCATACAATGAAATGTCTCTCTGTACTTAACTCATTCACAGTCAAAAATTTCAAAGAAAACAATAATATACATAATCCAGGCTCTGTATGTTTTCCATCTTTATGTGGCTTATTTGCCTTACTCTATTACTTTTTTTTAATAAATTGAAAGGATCTATTACTTTTTTTACAAGTTTAATATTTATTTTATTATCTTTATTCCTTTAATCTATGACTGTCTGTACTCTTTTATAAGTGTCTATACCTCTCTCTCTCTCTCTCTCTCTCTCTCTCTCTCTCTCTCTCTCTCTCGCCTATGTACATTTATCCAACATATCCAAAAGAGGTCTTTTTGATCTGAATTTGTCTTTATAGCAGTCTGCAATAATTTTCTGACCAGGAGCACTTTTAAAATGGTAAGCAGCTTGGTCACAGCGGCCCTGGATGCTGGCTCCACCTCTCTCAGGCTTTCAATATGGTGGAGGTAGTTCACCGTCTGGTCTGGGACTGAATGCAGCACATAAACCCTTTTATCTGAGTAAAAGCTGAATCTACCACACTGCGCGGCTTGGAAATATCCCTGTGTATGGTAGCTGTAATGCACCATGCTCCTGATCCAGCCAATAGCTTAAGTGTATTTCTAGCTAGTTCTTATATCTAAACTAACCCATCTCCATTCTCTGTGCATCTCCACAAGGTCTTGGCCGACCAGCAAGGTTCCAGCGGGCTCCTGTGGAGACGCCTGTTTCCTGTGGTGGCTACATGGCTTCTCCCTGACTCTGCCTACTCTCTCTATATATATCTCTCTTCCAGCCTGGCTATATTCTGCTAAGTCATTGGCCAAAAGCAGCTCCTTTATTAGCCAATAAAAGCAATACATATATAGAGGGACTTCCCACACCAGAGCTCTGCTTGCTTCTGCTTCCCAGTTGCTGGGATTAAAGGTGTGTGCCACCATTGCCCAGTGGGAAAAAATTTTAAATGTTTTATCTATTTTAATTTTATGTGCGTTAGTGTTTTGCCTATATGTGTATCTATGTGAGAGTGTTGGGTACCTTGGTGTTGGAGGTACATACAGTTTTGAGTTGCCATGTGGGTGCTGGGAATTGAACCCAAGTCCTCTGGAAGAGCAACCAGTGCTCTTAACCACTGAGCCCCCAGATGTGGGAAATTTTGTTGGTGGTTATTCTACAGCAGTTTCCATTATTTAGATAGTGGATTTATGAAACTTTTTTTCTAAAATTTTCTCCCTGGTTTTCATATTTCTGAGGTAATTTCCTTCAGTTTTTCATCTTTTGCCATTTAGATAAAATTATGGGGGCTGGAGAGATGGCTCAGTGGTTAAGAGCACTGGCTGCTCTTCCAGAGGTCCTGAGTTCAATTCCCAGCAACCACATGGTGGCTCACAACCATCTGTAATGAGATCTGGTGCCCTCTTCTGGCCTGCAGGCATGCAGGGAGGCAGAATGTTGTATACATAATACATAAATAAATCTTTTTTAAAAAAATAAAGTTAAGAAGTTTAATAACAAACACAGGCAATGACTCTATCAGGAGGCACCAAATGCTGCTGTCACTCACTGGAGGCCAGCCTGCCTTTGCCGGCACTTAAGGAGGCAGAAACAGCTCTGTTTGATGCTCTTTTATTTTGTTTTCCTCTATAGCCTTGGCTGGCCTCGAACTCACAGAGATCCGCCCGCCTCTGCCTCCCAAGTGCTGGGATTAAAGGTGTGCACCACCACTGCCTGGCTTTTTTTTTTTCTTTTTGGCTCATGGTCCCCTGTGGCCCACTCTGGCCTCATATTCAAGGCCAACTTTGAACTCCTGATCCTCCTTCCTCTGACTCCTGTGTCTTAGGGTGACAGATGGTGCCACCATCTATCCGGTTTATGGGCTCAATCCTTGTCTGTGCAAGCACTCTTATAACTGAGCCCCAGCTCTCGGTTTTTTGAGATATGACTTACTGTGTAGCTCAGGCTGGTCTCAGACTTGTGATAATTCTCCTGCCTCAGCCTCCCCAGGGCTGACATAATGCATGTGCGCTACCACACCTGGTATCCTTCGGCTAATTTCTTCTGTGAATACCACTCAATGTGGATGTCTCCACGTCAGCAGAAGTGCTCCTGGCCCAGGAGGAGGCTGTCCTTGTCAGGGTCCATCCCATCACTGCCGATGATAATCATCTCTAAAGCACTGGAGAAAGTAGACTTCGGTGTTACAGGTTGACAGTTGACAATCATGCCTCTTTTCCTTTGGGTCCTTCTCTGCATGCCCCGAGATGGGGGTGGGGGCCAGCTCAGGCTGTTGGGTTCAGCGTCTTTCCCCACTTTCCGTTTTGTAAAGCCTCTCCCAGCGACTTCACAGTCCGGTTCCTTTCACAGGGACTCACCTGCCATCCCAGCTCACAGGATGTAGTGCACCCAGATCGGCTCCATAGCTACATCCAGTTTTTCTTCCAACTCTTTGTTGAGAAAACCTCATTTTGTTTAATATCAGTGTCATTATATCTTTGCTCTTAGAATGGTCGGATCCTCTATCTTGATGGGTAAAAGCCTAGCAGCTAACATTCGGAAGCAAGGGAATGAGGAGTGTTAGCTATCTTAGTGCTCCGTGTTTAGATTCACTAAGCCCACTCTTTAAACGACGACTTTGGTTTTTCCATCACAGAGGTTCACACTTCAGCGCACTCAGAACAGCTTCTCCCTGCATTGGCTTTAGGGAGGGCCAGCCTCTAGGATCCTGAAAAGATGCGGTAAAGTTCTAATTAAATTCAGTTTAAAAAGAGGACAAAGGCCGGGCGGTGGTGGCACACGCCTTTAATCCCAGCACTCGGGAGGCAGAGGCAAGCGGATCTCTGTGAGTTCGAGACCAGCCTGGTCTACAGAGCGAGTTCCAGGACAGGCTCCAAAACCACAGAGAAACCCTGTCTCGAAAAACCAAAAAAAAAAAAAAAAAAAGAGGACAAAGAACTTTGGCTCTTTGAAATCTAGGTATCTAGGTACAAATAATTCTTAGCCAATTGACTGGCAAAATATCTTCTATTTCAGAGTAAAATTGGTTCAAAAGGACCAATATTTTAATTGACTCTTACACTCAAAGTTAGTTGCTGGCACCATGCTCTCTTATCAATAGCTGCAGTTTAGAGTTTCCCACAATCCTGTTCTTTCAAGTATAGCAGCATCTAAAGGAACAGTCCTGGTGTTGATTATAGGTGCTAAATTTAGGCGAAAAGAATTGCCACTGGTTGTCATCAACCCCCACGTATTCATTGTGCCTTTTAGTACCATTTTTGCCCTCTTTTGTGCTGAACTCATTACTAAGGGCTCCTTTTAATGTTCCATATTTAAAGGCAGTATTTTCAGGGTCCCATTGATTTTTTTTAAAGTCAAATATACTTAATTGTTTTACATTTTTTTGTATTTTTTTCTTACAGTTGCTTCTATAGGAAGTGTTTATGGTGGCTTGGTCTTCAAGAAGTTTCTACGAGGTAAACAACTACTTAACTTCCAAGAGACTAAATCTCTTTTTGTTAATAAGTTTGTTGTTTTCTAAAGTACATTTATTCTGAAAGATATAATTCCTTGGTTTAGTAAATAAAAATATAGGATACCCATTCAAATTACATTTTGAGAAAAACATTAGATGCTCTGAAAGATGTATTTTAGCCAGGCAGTGATGGCACATGCCTTTAATCCCAACACTTGGGAGGCAGAGGCAGGTGGATGGATCTCTTTGAGCTTGAGACCAGCCTGGTCAACAGAGCGAGTTCCAGGACAGGCTCCAAAGCCTGACTCAAAAAAAAAAAAAAAACCCAAAAGATGTATTTTATTTTTCAATTATGTGTATGTTTCCGTGTGTGTGCCACATGTGTGGGGGTGCCTGCAGGGCTCACAGAGGAAGTCAGACCTGATTCTGGTGGGTGTGAGCTGCCCAACAGGGGCGCCAAGAACTGAACTCTGGCCCTCTGGAAGAAGAGTATGTGTTCTTAAGCCTGAGCCACCTCTCCAGCCTCAGACCCTCATTTTACCCTACATTTTATCTGGCATTTCCACTGGAACAATAAAGCTAAGTAGATGCAGGAATGGACATGGCATCCAGGTAATTCTAGCTTTTCTGACTATTCTCTGTACAACTCAGGCAGAAGTTTCCCAGATACAAAAGAAGATTTGTTCCTATATAGTTCAGAAATGGACCATAAATGGTTCCCCTTGTAGTAATATAGTAATATTGTTCTCTATATTATATGTCAAAAATATATGTTAACATTAGTATGGTTTAGGAACTTAAAATTTGTTTGTTTATTTATTTCAAGACAGGGTTTCTCTGTGTAGAACTGGTTGTCCTGGAACTCGCTTTGTAGACCAGGCTGGCCTTGAACTCAGGGATCCATCCACTTCTACCTCCTGGGTGGTGGTGGCATTAAGGCATGCTCTAACACCACCCGACTCAGAACTCAATATTTTTTTTATTTTTATTTTTCAAGACTAGACAGGGTTTCATTGTTTAGCTCTAGCTGTCCTGGAACTTGTTTTGTAGACCAAGCTAGCCTTGAACTCACAGAGATTCACCTGCCTCTGCCTTCCAAGTGCTGGGCTTACAGGAGAAACATAAATTTTTTTAAAACTTTATTTATTGTATATGTGTGTGTGTGTTTAATAATTTCATCTTTTCTTTGACTTAGAAAGAGTCTGCATTTACTTTAAAGAGACCAAAATGGTCAGAGAACTATTGTGCTTCCATTTTTTATCTTCTGTGCTTGTGTGGTTTTGAAATAGCTAGCCAGTGAACGTGTTCCCCTCTTAATTGTTAAAATGTAAATTTTACCAAGTTTAGGTTTCATAGGGGATGGAACCCAGGACCCCACACATGTTAGGCAGAAGCCTTACCTACCTCCAAACTATAGCCCTAGTTCCCCAAGCGATTGCTATTACTTTTTGTGGTGTTTGGGATGGAACCCAGGATTTTGCATATTCTTTGGTAAGGCAAGTGCCTTACCACTGAGGAGCGTCACCATCTCTTGCTGTTTGTTTGTTTTTGTCTGTAATAACATAGAACATTTTATCAGTTTTATTATAATTTTTTATTAGAATTAAGGTATGGTTTAAGAATTTTACTTTTTGAGACTGAAAAGATGGCTTATAACTTAAGAGCACTGGCTGCTCTTGCAGAGGACTGAGGTTCAGTTCCTAGCATCCACAATACAGCTCATAACGCCTATAACTTCCATCCTAGGGATCCGACTCCCTCTTCTGGCCTCTGTGAGAACCAGGCATGATTGTGTTGCATATACATATATGCAAACAAAATACTCATTAAAATTAAAAAATTTTAATTAAATTTAAATTTAAAAATTAAAAATGAACAAATTTTAACAAAAGAATTTTACTTTTAATACTCTAATTATGTGTGCTCTGCAGGTATTTATAACTAGACACATATATTTTATTCTGCCAGTTATATTTTGATAATTTGAATGCGGGGTGGAGTGACATTAATCATCATAATATTATTTACATTTCAAATTAAATTAAAATGAATTTTTATTTAAAGTTTTTGTAGGAACTTATCTGCAACTTTATGAGGAAAATATCTAGATCTTTTTGTGTTTTTTAGCAGTTATTTACTAGTTTGTTATTAAGCATCTAATTTTGCCTTTCTTCTCCTTCATAACAACATTATTGATATTTGAGTTTCTAGTACCTACGGTGCATACGCTTTGGGAACAACTAACTGTTGGGTGATGTTTTATTCTTTTGGCTTCTTGGGGGCTCCACCACCCAGCTCCCAAATAAATTACATACAGAGGCTTTTTCTAAGTTATGAATGCCTGACCTTAGCTTGGCTTGTTTCTTGCCAGCTTTTCTTAAATTATCCTGACTACTTTTTGCCTCTGGGCTTTTATCTTTTTCTATTTCTGTATACCTGTTTTTACTTCTTTCTCTGTGACAGACTGGGTGGCTGGGTGCTTGGCCCCTGACGTCTTCCTCTCCTTGTTCTCTTGCTCTTCTTCTTCCTCGTTTCTCTCCCTATTTATCCTCTCTGCCTGCCAGCCCAGCCTGTCCTTGCTCCTGCCTCACTATTGACTGTTCAGCTCTTTATTAGACCATCAGGTATTTTAGACAGGCAAAGAATCACAGCTTCACAGAGTTAAACAAATGTAGCATAAACAAAAGCAACATGCCTTAAAATAATATTCCTCCAAAAAGGCCACATGTTGGTACATGCCTGTGGTCACAGCACTTGAGAAATGGAGACAGGAGAATCAGAAGTTTAAAGATATCCTTGACTACCTAGTGAATTCAAGAGCGACCTGGATTATGTGAAACCCTGTCTCAAAAACCCATTTCTCCCCTCTAAAAAAGAGTCATGGATCAGTTGCCTCAAAATCATCTCTATTATTGTTAGTTGCTCTTCCTTTTGGGATTGTTTCCATGGGATGATACAAAAAATGGAAAGATCATTCCTAATGTCACTGCTGCAGTTGAAATGTTTGAAAGTGCTTTGAAAGACAGAGGAAATATGTTATGAGCAGTGGCAAGGTAATAGGATTTTCTGTTATATTAACTAATATTTAATATGCATGTGCTAGTGGTCAGATTATAGGTAAGGCTGCTTCAATTAATATTTGTGAAAGTGCTTTGAAAAATGAAAACCCATAACAACAAGGAGTCAGTTTATTGCATTGTAACTAGTAGGGAGGAAGCGTCAAATATCATTTATAGAAATCACATTTTCTATACTAATACAAAATTTAGATAGTGTCATAATGATTTAGATTTAACTTTTAATTTTTAAAACTCAAATAGTTTTGTTTAATATATTTTATATGAATGTGATAAAGAGTGAGTGGCTCTTTGTACAAATATGAAATATTATGGATCAAGTATACAGCAAAAATTGAGTTATCTGTTCATTGTCAGTCATATTTAGTAGCCAACTTCAGCTTAATCCTTCAGTTGTTAGGGCTCATAATACTAACCTCCACTCCATAATGCTATTTATTCATACTAATTAGTAGCATAAATTGCTCAGTGAAGCTCACAAAGGAAATTGGCCAAGACTAAGACTCAAATCCCTTAGCTCCTTGGCTTATGTGTCATTAATTATGCCTTTATTACTATTATTATTTATTTAACATTCCTGTAACACTGTTAGCAAACTGCTTAAATTGGTCCACTGTCTTTACACTGTTTAATTAGCTTCATCAGGGAGTTTCTGGCAGCTGATTTATTAATCATCAGGGTCCAGATGCTAAAGAGTTGTATATCTTTCAAAATGAGTAACATACCTCTGAATTCAGTGTGAGCACACTGTCATCCTCATCCTTTGCTTGATCTCGCCGGTGCCTGAATGAGGTACCACTCTTCTCTCAGGGAGCTGAACTGCCGGAATAATCTAACTTCCGTTGCCTTCACTTCTTTGCCTTCTTCCTTCTGGGCATTCCAGGTCATTTTCTACAAATAGGCTCATACTTATGCTGAGTTAATAAATACTTGACCAGCGCAGCCTCCCAAGAGTCCTGCCTCTTTAGGTTCATTTTCTCTTTATCCGTCTCCAGTTTCTAATGAGTCATGCTTTCATTCAGTAACTTTTATTGAATATCTGCCTTGCCGGGAAGTGACAAAAAGGGACAGCTCTGCAAATAAAATAGGCTGTGACAGGATTGGAAGGGAGCTGTGTTCCCAGAGCTTTTGTGGTAACCCAGAAGATAGTCCTCAAGGTCCCGTCACAAGTGTGCCTTTCTTCCTTTAGTTATGGCACACATGTGGAGGCTAGAGGATAACTTACAGGAGTGTTTCTCTCCTTCCCGTACACAGGCCCCTGGACCTCAGGACTTCAGGCTTAGCAGCAGACTATTCTGTTTGGGAGTTACTCTGGAATGTGTAACATGCTTTCCTAAATTGCTATTTGATGTATTTATTTCTTTTATTTATTTGGTTTTTCGAGATTCCTTTTTTTAAAAAAAAAAGTTTTTCAAGGCAAGGTTTCTCTGTGTAATAACCCTGACTGTCCTGGAACTCAATTTGTAGACCAGGATGACTTCAAACTCACAGAGAACCACCTGCCTCTGCCTTCCAAGTGCTGGGATTAAAGGTGTGCGCCACCACCACCCTACTTTAAGATTTCTTTATAATGATATCAACATTCTTACAATTCTCCAGAGTCAGAAACCTTGCCTTTTTAAGAGGAGTGAGTTTCTCCCTTTTTCTTCGTTATATAATAAACTCATTTCTTGTTAATTACATCCTTGTAATATACAACTGTTTATTAAATTAATTTAAAAATGCTCTTAGGGCTGGAGAAATTGCCAGGCATTAAGAGTATTGACTACTCTTCCAGAGAATATGGGTTCAAAACCCAGCACCCACATGGCAGCTCACAACTGTCTGTAACCTCAGTTCCAGGGAATCAACAGCCCCACACAGACGTGCATGTAGACAAAACACCAGTGCACATAAAATAAAAATAAATACATTTTAGAAATCTTTTCTTAAAGTGCTTTTAGGCTCCTCCTTGAATGATTTCCTATGTGCTTATTAAAAACAAAACAAGGCAGGCATGGTGGCACACTCCTTTAATCCCAGCACTCAGGAGGCAGAGACAGACATATCTCTGTGAGTTCAAGGCTAGCCTGGTCTAACGAGTAAGTTCCAGGACAGCCAAGGCTGTTATAAAGATAAAATCTGTCTCAAAAAATAAAATAAAAAACTCACGAAGATCAGATTTGATGCCACCTATCAATTAGAATAATCCCCTTGACTTTCAAGAGCGATGGCCACTGTACCAGCTAGTTTCATTTTAACTTGATACAAACTAGAGTCATCAGAGAGGCGGGTGGTGGGTGGGTCTCTTGAGAAAATGCCTCCATAAAATCAGGCTGTAGGCAAGCCAGTAGGATATTTTCTTATTACTGTCTGATGTTGGAGAGCCAAGCTCATTGTGAGTAGGGCCACCCATGGGTTGGTGGTACTGGGTTCTATAAGAAAGCAAGCTGAGAGCCGGGCGGTGGTGGCGCACGCCTTTAATCCCAGCACTCGGGAGGCAGAGGCAGGCGGATCTCTGTGAGTTCGAGACCAGCCTGGTCTACAGAGCTAGTTCCAGGACAGGCTCCAAAGCCACAGAGAAACCCTGTCTCGAAAAACCAAAAA